AGAATCATTAAGGTTGGAAAAGACATTTAAGATCATCTAGTCCAACTGTCCACCTACCACTGACACTGCCCACTAATACATACATGTTCCTTAGTCTCACAGTTTTTATAAGTCCACTTCAGTGCTAGGATTACTGCTGTTTCAGGTGGTGTCAAGATTTTGTATGGTAATAGAGAAAGGACTTGTGAGAATGACAGAGTGAGAGCACACTGAAACCACAGAGGATCATATTTGGATTTCTGAATTGTTCAGCAAAATCTAAGCTTTCATTTCAAAAACAACCTCTAGCCATTCTAGCTATAAACTGTAAATTACTTTGTAAAATGACCCACGTGTATGAAAGGAACCCCACAAGCCTGAATTTGCAGAAAGTCTGAAACAGGTCAACGCAGTGAATGATTTCCTGTTCATACATAGTAATTTAGATTACGTTAACATACGAAACAAAGTCAAGTCACAGAAAGGAAGGAATTACAGAGATTGACAAAAATAACCTATAAATCACTTCCACTTTCAAAGGGTAGTGTAGAAACTCATTGTGGAATTGACTAGCAAGGTTTTGTTGATTAGCTCAAGGACTCAGTTTCCACCAGCTGAGAAGTATCAATTCAAGAAACCTACCTGAAGGGAGGACTGATTCTGAAATTAATAAACATTAAAAGTAATTGTGCTCTTCTTTGACCTAAACTACTAGGAATTTGCATGAATTTACTTCCCTTAGCACAGCACTATTATGTCAGTAATATTGGGTGAATATATGGAATGAATTTGACTTTCAATAAGCAGTCATCAGGTCCATCAGGATAGCAGGTGAGAGAGAGCACCTTCTAAGTTCACTCTACCTTTCCTCTGTAGAAGAATTCATGTCACTCCAACAGTTTTCTTTACTTCTTCTAATTATTATTTTTCTTCATTAAAATTAACTGTCCAGCTGGGCTGTATTTGCTGCACATAACTATTGGCACTATGTCTTTTTTTTGTTTAGTTAAAACAAGTGGCAGTAATAAAATAAGGGCAGGTGAATGTGTTACTATGGTTCCTGTTTATAGAACAAAATAACAGAAGGAACACAGGGAAAGTAAAGTCACACTCTCTGTCAAGGAAAGAATCCCAGACATTTCAGTAAGGAGACAAAATGGTCTCCTGTGGCACTTGCAGGGAACAAGCAGTCGCCTAGTATTATCTTCTACCAGGATGGACAACACAAAATCAAATGGATTTACCAATCCCTAGCTAGCTCTGCTATACAGATCATGTTAAAAATTTAAATTAAAAAAGGACTAGATATACTTTTATCTTAATAATCTTGATGTCTACAGGCAAAATTGAAATGATTAGGAAAAGCAAAGTTCTGTATGAGAACATATACTTACTAAACTTACATAGTGACTCTGACAACTCTGTTATTCCATAATTTATAGAATGTTTCATGTCTTTATGTCCCTTTATTTAAGCGAGTTTATGGGGTATCCATGCACATATTGAGTATCAATATTTTCTTAATTTTTATATAAAACCATCTTGAAATCAGCTGCTAAAGAACATGGTCAGTTTGTTTTATTTACCAGTTTTCCAAGAACTCATGTCATGAAACAAAGATTGTAAGTGTTTAAATTAGTTGCTTTTCCAGAGAACCTGTTTTGTAAGCTATGTTCACTTGCTAAAGAAAATACATAAATCTCTGATTTATAAACCTAAACAAACATGGAAAATGACAATGTAAATGTCTTTGAGCAGAATGATCTGTGTGCATATCAAGAATTTATGAAACTGCCTCAATATATCCAGGAAAAAAAAAAAGATAAAACCTACTTTTTTCTCTACTATTGAAGCTGTGCAAGTCATATTGAGTAAATTTCATATCTTAATACTGAGCTGTCAGTAAGGAGATAACAAACTACATATTTTACTTTGCTGTTTTTTTGAAAGCCCTTCCTGAGTACTAGATACTCACCATCTATTGTCATCAAATCAACACTTGTTATTGTCTGCCAATGTGCATCTTAGCCTAGCTTAATTACAGACATTAATTTACAAAGTTGAGACTCAGAAATTGTGAAAAAATCACTAATTTCATAAGTCCCTCTATGTGTACCGGACATTGACCTTGGCTATTTCTGTAATTATCAAATCTGTTTCCCTCAACAGGATAGCCAGTTTTCCATGATCTAGTAAGTTGGCATTATATTTGAGAAATAAACGAAAATGTCCATTCTCTCTGCAGGTGTCCAGAAGCTGGATGGTGCTACATGACAGACTCTGTAAATCTTTCTCTATCATTTCTGTGCTGGGACCAAGAAGGACAATACGAAGGATGAAAAGATGCAATTGAAACTTTTCCTATTTCAACAAATGTCTATGTCATGGCTGTAAAAAATTGGCCAACACCAAAAGTGAGTGCTAATTAAAACTTAAATGAAATGGTAAAAGAAGTTAAATTTAAATTTCAGGCTGCGAATCATCATAGAATCATAGAATGGCCTGGGTTGAAAAGGACCTCAAAGGTTGTCTAGATTCAACCCCCCTGCTATGTGCAGGCTCGCCAACCACCAGACCAGGCAGCCCAGAGCCACATCCAACCTGGCTTTGAATGCGTCCAGGAATAAGGCATCCACAACCTCCTTGGGCAACCTGTTCCAGCGCATCACCACCCTCTGAGTGAAAAACTTCCTCCTAATATCTAACGTAAACCTCCCCTGTCTCAAATTAAAACCATTCTCCCTTGTCCTTTCACTATTCACCCATGTAAACAGCTGTTCCCCCTCCTGTTTATATGCTCCCTATAAGTATTGGAAGGCCACAGTGAGGTCTCCCTGCAGTCTTCTCCAGCTAAACAAGCCTGGTTCCCAGAATGTGATTAAACATTGAATTTTAAATAAAGAGACATTATAATATCTTTTTCGTCATCCTTGTAATTCAGGCAAGGGTTCATCTGTTAAAGCACAATCACAGCTGTTGTTCTTACTGTTTCAATAGGATAATAGAGGTGTGAAATACATGGGATGGGTGAAATGGAGGTTGTGGAGGAAACTGAAGCAAGAGATATTCCAACTAGATACAAGTCTAAAAATCATAACCATGAGGTGAAAAACTTGACAGGAAATAGTTCTAACCAAATGGGTCTAACTTTATGTTTGCCTTGTTTGAGCCGGGCTGATTCAGACTTTCAGATCAGAGGCCCTTTACAACCTGAGTTAGCCTATTGTTATAGGAAATGTATCTGTATGGATTGACAGGAGACAGTGTTGCATATTTAGTTTTGTTGAAGGTCAATGCAACCAACTGACTTAGAAGGAGAGTTGAGAAAAGACAGCAGGTCTAGCCAGAATTGTTTTGGTATGAAATTAAAAACTTGTTAAATACTTTGGAGGAATTACTTTGTCTGAGAGCTGTAAAAGCCCTCCATTCCCCCTGTTAGCTATTTTTAAAAATATGGAGGGAAAAAAAAACAAACAAACAAACAACAACTAAAGAAACCAACCAACCAACTGCGTAAAACTTTTCTCATAACTGTGTATTGATTATTAAACAGAGTAAGGTATATAAAAAGAGTGCAAGAAAATAGAATTGATTCTGCACATAGAAAAAAAAGAAAAAAAAAAAAAAACAAGGTTATGCAGTAGAGAACTTTGCACAAGGTAACTCCACATATGATACGGAAGATATAGAATGATAAGAGGAAGCCTAAAAGCTGAGACTCTGTTGTATAACTGAGGAAAAATGCTTTCAAAATATTAACTGCAAGTGGTAGTCTTAGATGAGTTGTAATAAAATTACTTCTTGGAAGAGAGCAAAGGCCAAGGTTGGTTGAATTAGAGCCTACCATCTTTTCTCTAGTGGTTCAGAAAATGTCTTCCCTGCAGATTGATTTCTGCAATTGGAAGAATTCTTTTGAACATGACCACTGAAATTGTTGTCTGCCTGAATATAGAAATAGCAACATCTGGACAGACTCCAAAAATTAAGGTCTTCAGGTTTGAGAGAAATCTTACAGTTGCCCTAAGATTTCTCTAGCACAAATCCTATAGTGGATAAAAGGCGGGCATAATCATATGTAAGCCAATTTTCCTAGCATAAGCAGTACAGTGGGCAGATCAGATTGGAGATGATATTTCAGGTCTAGATGAGATTTAACTGAAAATCTGCAGTATCATTTCTTTAAAACCAAAATGAATTATAATGCTATTTCTACTGTCTTTTTCCAAGGCAATAATTTTTTGCCACAACACACCTCTCACGTGGCAGTCAGTGTTATTTCATGCTGCCTCTGACTGCAGCATACAAAAGTAATTCTGCATCCCAGACTAACGTAGATCCTACTCATCCTCACTGGAAAGCCAAATAACTGATTTCATGTGATTTCTTCTTTTGTTCTGAATGGTAAATAAGATCAGACCACTTTTGAAGGAACAGAACATAGGCAGCATAGATAAACCCTGTGGAACTTAAAGAAATACAATCCATTCCTTTGCTTTATCCAGTTTTTTTCCATTTCCTATACTTTAGTTAACCTTCAATAACCCTGAGAGTGATTTGTTTATAAAGAAACAAGCCATAAAAAAATGGTATGTTAGAGACTCACCTATCATTTGCAACAAGATTTAATGTGGAACTTCCTGAAACTGTAACTAAATGATAACTCTGCAACTGGTTAGGTTGAGGGCTTTTTGGGTAAAGGGTTGTACTTGAAAGGGTCTGGTCCACAATCAGTATTACATGAATAACAGTAGGAACCATTACAGTGGTAACCAGCCTGAATATTTCCAAATGCTTCTTCATTGGGGTATATATTACTTACAATACCACTAATCCCTCAAGACTCTGCCTTTTAACATTAATTTTCTTTCAATCACAGTGTCTTTTCTTCACATACATGGACTCGAACTCTTGCTGGTAGAACTACTGGGCATTCATTGCTACAAGGTACTAGTCAGAAAAAGAAAATAGCCACTTAACCCTACAGAAAATACGATGTGGTGTGTGTTACATGGGTTACTCACGGCTCAGCTTCAATGCTCTGTACAGCAGCTATGTAGTTGGCAGGGATGTAGCCCTGGAGCTTGCGGCCAGGACAGACTGACCCTTCTGGCAGGAGGAGCTTAGCGTACCACCAGCCCTCATGGGATGCGTCCAGCACTTCAAGTTTATCCCCGGCTTGGAAGCTCAAATCATCCTCTGTGCGAGCATCATAGTTGAAGAGTGCCACAAAATTGCAAGTGCTCACCAAATGCTGGCCAGGCAGTGGAGGTAAGGGTTTCCCTTTAGTCTTATTCACTTTGTCCTTCTCTCCTGCCTGTGAGTCAATCCTTACCACAGCAGGGTTGGCAAAAACCTGGCCAACATCCTCTTCCCGCTCATCTTCTTTCCCTGAGAATAAGCAAGGAACATAGGGCTCCAAACAGCTGCAGTACTTCTGACAGAAGTTTCCCATTCTGTTTCCTTATGCCTTCCTGCTCCTTCTCTTCTTTTACTTTTCACAGCTGAAATATCCTTAAAGAAATTTTTGCCCCATAATATCTTAGCATTTTGAAGGATTTCTTTTCCTCTTCCTCCTTTGGCACAAGATGAAACCGTTCGTGGCACAGCTGGAAGCTCCTCTCTGAGCACTGCTGAGAACTCATTCAGACAGCTCCCGATTCAGAAGTGAAACCGGAGAATTCATGCGCGAGAGCAGATGTGGAGGGAATTTCTGACTTCCTCCTCGGAACAGGAAAGCAACACACGAACTGCCTTTGGGCTGAACTTTTGGAACAGCAAAAGAACATGGATCCTCCTCTGACACAGCAAAAATACATTCAGAAAATCTAGTCTGTTCTGGGGAGTCTTCTCAGCTCTTTATGCTTGTGATGGGGCATTCTTATCTCTTATCTCTTTGGTAATGATTAACCGAGGTGACCTGCGTGTCTCCTCAGCCTCCAGCATGGGCAGCCTGATTATTTCTTTTTGCTTCCTGGTCTGCGCTGCCTTCTGTTCACAGAGCAGCCTATGCCTGCTCAGGGGACCTCACCTGGAACACACCTGCTACTTCTGCGCTCTTACACACCCACTCTTTTTTTTTTTTTTTAATCTGGTTTTGAAACTTCTTACGGGAGGGAGAGGGGAAGTGATTTTACTACATACTTTATTCTGCATTTTGAGGAAACAAAGTCACAAGCCAATGGCTCTAGGTGGATGGCTAATTATACTAACAACAATATAAAAATAATTTCTGTTTTCCAGCCAGTGAGCAAGCCAGCAGAAGCTAAGTTAACCAGTATGCTTACTTTCCTAAGGCACCTGCAAAGTGTCAAACAGACAGAGCATGGGTGTCTAACTGCTGCTGTGGCAAAGCAGCCTGTGGAACAATCTGCCACTTTTCAGCCATGCAGAACAGGCTTTACAGCAGCTGGAAATCACCAGCCAATGGTGCATGTAATGCATGGGAGTAAGGTATGAAGCACGGAGGACAGCCCGGCTATACAGCATGCTGGCATTTCAGTAAGAGGTCAACTAAAACCCACTCACTTACCCATAGCTTCCTGGAGATAAAGAAATTGGCTTCAACAATTCCCTTTTTTCCTTTGGTCAGGAGGCACAGAATCATAGAATGGCTTAGGTTGTAGAGGAATTTAAATATCACCTAGTTCCAATACCTTGTCATGAGTAGGACTGCCAAACACCTAATTAGGCTGCCCAGTTTCCCATCCAAAGTGAACTTGAATGTCTTCAGAAATGAAGCATCCACAGCCTTTCTGGGCAAAGTGTTCCAGCAAGAAATATTCCAAGAGATATTTACTTTTTGTAAGTGTAGTAGACAATACCCGATGACAAGAAAGGCCTGTGTTGAAAAAAAAACAAAAAACAAAAAACCAAAAAACCTGTCCCCATTTGTCTAAATTCAGTGAAATAAGAGAAAGCAGAAATGATGAACTAAATAATCTCTGTTTCCCCAGTTTGATTGTTAAAGAGATTTTTTTTCCTGTAATTTTTCATGGATCTTGCAACATAGGCTTTAATCTGTCAAATATTTGCACATGTGCTTACTGGACAAAGTCTTTTCATAATGCCAATGGAGCCACCTGCATGTGCAGAATCAATCTCATGCACAGCTGTTTCCAGGAGCAAGACCCATCTTTACGTTCAAGTACCAATACACATTCACATTAGAAATTATACTGCTTTCACTGAGACTACCCATATAGATAAATACAACCATAGCTTGAATGGGACTTAAGCCTACAAACATTTGTGTATATGAGTATCTTATCTCAAATAATCTCTAGCATTAAATTAATCTCTCCTAGTTTACGGTCTTTTAAAAACTAGGAAGACTTCTGCTGAAAGGGATCGATAATTTTAAATCAAATTACTTTCTTAACCAACGCTTCAGAATCAGTTCTATTTATGAAGCACATAGACTATAATAAATAGTAATGGAATTCATTAATCAGGTTAAGAACTCGAGAAGAGAGAGAGAGTAATAGGACTGCCAAGAACTGCTGAGCAGATCCCAGAGCCCATGTGGGGCAGCATTGTGCTGTTTCATACTGGCTGGGCTGTGGTGGCCATACTAGAGTGTTGCCTGTGCGAAAGCTTTCAATCCCTTCCTAGTGATTTTATTAAGAATTCTCTGCATTTCTGAAAATAAAAAAGTACTCTTCATGTTTTAGAGACTATATAATTTTATCACAAGTGAGAAAAATTATGAACATATAATAAAAATGTTCTTGCTAGTTTTATTGAAAAAAATAAAATCTGATAAGTCCCATAATCTTAATTTTCATGTTCACAGCTTTGGAACAAATTAGGATAATACATGATTATCCTCAGCTTTTCAGTATGAACTATTGTCTGAGTCCTGTGCACTGGTATTGCATATAATTTAACAGGATAATATTTGCAGCACCTATTTGGGGGTCAAGCAGATCGGTATCACTTACTGATCCTCTGAATATTCACTTAATCCATTTTGGAGGATGATTGTCAGACCAGAAATTGTCTAAATAAATAAGCTACTAGCTGTAAATTACTGTGGAAGACTTAACCAGATATGTGAAGAATTTTATTAGCAGGAATGTTCTAAGAACACAAGAGTCTCACCTCATTCTTATAACCAACCGTAACTATAGCGAATGATGAATTTATTAGGACTAAAACAGCACATAAACAGACTGGGTACTAAAATTTACTATTCTGCTTCCTATATTAATATATTTTAAAAGCTCATTAATATCATGAGCATTTTCTTGAAATATGCAACACCTTGAAACAAAGATGGGTCATTTATAATTGGCATATGACAGGATCATACAAACTTCAATCAGGTAGCACATTTCTCCATCAAATTGCCCAGCTGCCCAGAGAGGTTTTGGAGTCTCCTTCTATGGAGATATTCAAGACCTGTCTGGACGCCTATCTGTGCAACCTATTGTACGGTACTCACTTTAGCAGGGGGGTTGGACTTGATGATCTCTTGAGTTCCCTTCCAACCTCTGCAACTCTGCAATTCTGTAAATTATGTAATTCCCCACTAAAGTAGATCTCATTGTTCCATAAAGAAAAAAGGACTATTCTGTTGCTATATGTTTGAGGATGACAGGTATCTGAAACTACTTTTTATATACTGTAAGTCACTTACAAAGCCCCAGGTAAGTAAGGCTCTTGCAAGGAGCTTCACCCCTGCACGAAGGATTAATTTGAAGTCCTCTGAATACATTTAATCAAATTCTAATTAACTTAAGTCAATAGTCTTTAGGTCTTGTTTATTCTACAAAACAATCATGTTTAAACACAGTAGTGAAACATATTTCTCTTGGTTGCCTGAATGGACAGAAAAATAATGTACTAATATGATGTGTTTTAGTAAGCCTAGCACAAACTTAACCTGAATCACATTAATTGAAGTGCTCTTGGAATGAGATAGTAGTGTGTATGAATTAAGGCATCAGACAGAGTTGTATTAAATAAGTACAAATAAAACCCGAATCCATGATATTTCAAAAGGATTGTTTTAACAGAATTTTTATTTGTACATCATGTCATACAAAAACCATTTTGTATTAGTCTTCATTACAGATATTTCCTATACTTATTGAACTCATAGAATCATAGAACCATAGAATTGTATGTTCTCTGCACAGAACTATTGGTATAATTACATAATACCTTGAAGATTTAGGAAAAAAAGAAACCTTTCTGCGTCTCATAAACATGCAGCTCTATACTTCAGAAAAAAGAACTGAACATCACTGAATACTAGGCTTTGGTACTGATGACACATGCTGTTTCAAACAATTTTCCTATGCCATGCAGAGAAGAATTACAGTCAGATCTGTACTGTCTGCTGGGGAAAATGAATATTCAAAGGCTGTGTCAACTGACAATTTTGTTAAGAAACATGAGTCAGTTTAAACAGGAAATTGAAAAAGAGAGCTTTTTGTCCTGTTAAGAATATGAGATCACAACAGAAGCAAATATTTTCATCTTAACTTGTTTCAAATTTTATATACACAAACAAACAAACAGACAAACCTCCACATTGAAAACTGAAGAATAAGGATATAAAATACAGAATTTGTAATTAAATAGTGTATGGAACTATTGCTCATAGCATCACTTTTTATATTACGCAACCTTTTTGTAGTCACTATTTATGCTCTTGCATTAATATATGTTAATCTAAATATTTGCCACAATATAACTGTTGTAGAAAAAAAAAATCATCTAATGCATGATGATAAAGCAAATTGAATGTTCCAGCAAAGTGAAATATTCAAATAATGTCATCTTTAAAGAAATCAGAAGAAAAGCTAATACATACTGCTCTGAAACTGTACTTCGGGAATAATTCAAGTGATTAAACATTATAAAGTGGTGCTGTTGTTTTGTGTTTTTTTTTAAGACACTGATAGGAATGAATCGCAGTGATTTTTATTTTTTTTTTTTTTATTACAGCTGCCTTTTCAGCAACATTTCTTTCCAATTCCACATTAGGATGGGACACATTACCATCACTTCATAGTTTTTTTATAATCCTTTTAATCGGCATTTCCATTTTGTTTCTGTAATTTGCAAATTGCCATTCTTTTTAATGAAAATAAATTACATGTGAAATCTCACTCATGACAAAACTGTTTACTCCTGATGATTAATCATGTTCCTGATTTGTATATTATCTCAAACCATAGATCTACAAAGAGTTATATTAGATTCTGTATTTTCCAACTTTAAATCTTTTGCATCTACAATGGGAAAACTCTGGCTATTTATATTCATAAGGCTGATCCAGTAATCCATCTCTACTCTAGAAACCATTAAAAGTACATTTTCAAGTGCTTTGTTGATGTGAGTTGCTTATTTGTTAGCTGAACTGGGGCCTAAAACAGGCTATGTCTGACAACAAATGAACACAGAGGAATAAGACTCTGTCAAAGAGTGACAGAATAGAGACTT